TGTACAAGTTTCGAGCTGGCTTCCCGCCAAGTCCCCAAAACTCGACAACAAGGACCCGCCTCCCAGAGAGGGAAAAGAGGGAAAAAAAAAACTAAGCAGCCAAAGCTATAGCAAATATATATATATATATATATATTTTACATATGAGACAGATACACAAAAGGAAAATACCACACACCTGAGTGGGGGGGGAAAGGGGAAGGGAAAGGGAGAAAGACAAAAAGGGGCAAGGACCGAGCAAGTCAAACAGCCAGCCGAAGGCAAACTAGCAGAAATCTCACCACTTCCCTTCGAACAGGCAGAATGACTTGACGCAGCCCAAGGCTCTCCTCTCACGCGAAGCGGATAGCGGCAGTCACTGTAGGCCTCGGCTCCAGATAAGCTTGACTGAAACAGGGACCCACCGTTCTCGAACCTCGCCGGAGAGGAAGAGGGCACGATCCCTCCCACTGGCTTTATTTATACCTCCAGTTACGTAAAGGAATAGCATGGAATACTTCCGTGATCACTTTTCTAGTTCCTTCCTGGTTACAAGTTGGTCTCCAGGAAGGCCTAGGGTGAAACCACCACACCTGGGTTGGATGAGACCTGAAAGATCATCCAGTTCCAAACCCCTGCCATGGGCAGGGACACCTTCCACTAGCCCAGGTTGCTCAGAGCCCCATCCAACCTGGCCTTGGACACTTCCAGGGATGGGGCAGCCTCAACTTCTCTGGGCAATCTGTGCCAGGGCCTCCCCACCCTCTCAGGGAAGAATTTCTCCCTAATATCCAATCTAAAGCTACTCTCTCTCAGTTTGAAGCCATTTTGCATGTCCTGTCAGTGCAGGCCCTTGTAAACAGACTCTCATTTCCCATATTTGTGTACAACTGAACATCCTTAATGCAATACTGAGGGAATTTTTCTTCCAGCTTGTGAGGTTTAACCATGCCTGCGAGGAAGAGATGAAGCAGCTGGCAGGATCTACTCACATTGCTTGGCTTGTGTGGCTATGATTCCGAGCAGAATGAGCACAAGGACTCCCAGGACCAGTGACACATAGAACCAGGCTGACCACCTGTGTTGACAGCCTCAAGGGAGGCAGGAGGAAGGGCAGATTAAGGTCTTGGCATTATTAAAATGAACACTTGCGTAGGCAACTTTCTTCTGTGGAAACAGCAGAGAAATCATCTGCCTAAAATCAGCCTGGTGTTTGAGGGATACAGGAATATTTTACTTATTAAAAAATTGTGTCCATTTTGCATACATGAAAGCAAAATCTAAATATTTTGTCAGACCAAGCAAGTGGTTTTCAATCATTCCATTAAGAATTCTCTCTTTCTCCTTTGAGTTACTTTTCTCAAACATTGCCTCCTCCCCACACCCACACCCTGCAAGACCCTGCAGAGCAGTTAAGGGAAAGTGTCACGGGTGGTCTGTGGCATCAAGGATGGTCTCTGGTGTCAGGGATGGTCTGTGGTGCCAGGGGTGGTCTGTGGTGTCAGGGATGGTCTGAGGTGTCAGAGATGCTCTGTGGTGTAAGGGGTGGTCTGTGGCATGTTCCTCCTCTCTGATCTCAAGTGTTAATGTGCCTGTCCTGTGGCTCAAAGCCAACTTCCCTGAGTGCACAGAAAAGGCAAAACCCCATTCTGACACCATGGCACAGGGAAGTACCTCTAAGCGTCTCTCCAGCTGTTTGGCATTCATCATCTCCTGAGAGTGAAATCCTCAGGAAGAGGCAGAATCCGAGGAAATTTGGGGTCAAGGTGTCAGTTCCACCAGACACAGAGTTGCATTGTCATAACCTCTTTTTTCCTGACCTCACCTGTGTGAGATGAGCAACTGCCCATTTTCTGACTGCCTCGGATATAAGTTGTAATGTTCCTCTTTCCAAGGGCCTGACCTTGCCTGGCAGGCAAATCCTTCAGTACAGGAAGGGTGGAAATCATCAGTGCACTACCAGCATACAGAGAGCTGGGAATTACCCTGCTTCCAAAGCCAAGTGTGTCCCTGTGACTCTTCCTGCAGAGACATTTACAAGAGGATTCCTAAAAAAACATGGAATTTTACTTTCCTTTAATAAATTTTCAATGTAGGGCACAAAGGTATTTTTAAGAATTAATTTTGAAATGCCTTTCAACGTTGTTTTTTACAAGGAAAGTGTGTTGCCTGAGAACCCAGCAGAAAAAACCCACCTGATGAAATGATAATTCAGTTTTTTAATGAGAGTGAACGTGAAGACTCTTGATACCAGGTTTTACCGTTGGGCAATAGGAAAGACTAAATCTATAATAGGAAAGACTAAACCTATAATTAGTAACCAAACAAAATAACTAAAATACACTACCGGAAGAGGAAGTCTCTGGTCTGCTGTTGCCTTTGGGTTTTGGCTTCACACGCAGCTCGGCGTACATGATCGTGTTTCCTGTGAGGAGCAGAGAAATGCTGACATTTGTGTTGTGCAGATCATTAAGTAGAGAAACAACAAAGAATTATGTAGAAGACTGAGTCTATATGAATAGGGGAGTGTGTTTCCACAGCTGCTTGTTCAACTTTTTCTTTTTTCTAGGAAACAACAGGCAAAGTGATGATTTATTGTTTCCTGCTGCTGTCAGGAAGTAAAATCCTCCTCCATAATCTTTGAACTACTCAGGTCCTGTGTGGCTGGATCAGGAGGCAGACTAACAGACTGGATGGATAAGATCTGGATCCTATCCATAGCGAACATCCCATCTGTTGCTAAGCCATCTCAGAAGGTGACATAGGGGCTTGAGGGGCATCAGAACCATGACTGCTTTGTGGAGCAGAGAGGTGCCAAAGGGAAAACTGCCACTCAGAGAAATACTCCTGCAGCAAGGTAATTCTTGGGGCATTCCTCACTTGTGAATGTTTATGCCAGGATATTACATGGTGCATGGAAAAGGAGAGGAATGGACCTGATGGTTGGAGACATGCTTTTCCAGATGCACATTGACAAAACAAAACCGAAGAAGGCATAAATGTAGCATGGTGTGGGTTAGACTCACGTGGATTCTTTCTGAGTGTATATTCAATTTTGTTTAGCTGGGTATTTTGCAGTTAGTTTTCTTCTTTCCATAAATGGAGAGATTTTATCAATCTGAATCAATAATAAGCTTCTGTGCTACTGCCTTTGTTTGTGATCACTGAGGCTTTTAAAAAGAAGTACCTCATGTTGTAAAATCTCACAAATAAGGGAAAAACTTAGCAGAGGAAGAAAGTCTCCTTAGGCTAAAATGAGGTATCATCTGATATGAGAATTGCTGAAGTGTAAAGAGGTTTTACAACAAGAAAACCACTGAGGACCTGATTGGCAAATAAGGTTTATTCATACAGGTGAGATATTCTATGCTTTAGGGAACCTGACCTAATACACTTGGCTGTTTCCTTTATTTAAATTTATTAGTTCAATGAACTAACAGAAAATTTGTAAACTATATTTACTGTTCTCAAAAACAAATGCTCATGGAAGTTTTTCTTCTTAGAATGTAAATAATTTTCAGAAAACAGTCAGGGCTTTTAAACTTTTAAATGCACTGTAAATGGAGACACTTCTAAACTAGTAGCAATCTGCTACTATTCTTAATATTTCGTCTCTCAAATAAAGATCTATTCCTTTGAAGAATATCTCGAAGTCTGTAAAAGAAAAATTGTCCATGCAAGCTGAATATTTTAAAAAATTATTACTTCTATAACAGTGTGTTTTGGCACATTTGCATGTGATGTCCTCAGACATCAACAAGCAGATTTAAGATATCACATAACCTTAATTTTGCCAGATGCTTCCACACCCTTTACCTAATTCAGCAACAAAGAGCCCTGGTAGTGGGAGGAGATCTCTGTCACTTACTAAAACTGAAAATTCATTTCTCTGTGCCAATTATCAGGTGCAGAAAAACATTTATTGGAAGTTTCTACTTAGTGGAAGTGCAGGAAGGGATTGCTCCTGGCAGGTTGTCCATTATGGAACATTATGGGCCACCTCATTCAGGGGGAACTGGGAGAGAGAGTCCAGCAGAAGGTGGACCTGGTCAAGAGGAGGTTAAGGAGGGGAACAAGAAGCTAAAGGGGACAGCTAATAGCAGGCTACAACTACTTTTAGACTAGTTTGGTGACAGAGTCAAACTCTTCTTGGCTTGGCTTTCTGCCAAGGAAAGTTCCAGTCTATCAAGTTTATCCCAATAGTTTCCCATGAGTGAGCTTTCCTTATCATTAGACTGCAAACTTACACATTCTCTGCAACTGTGCCACCAGTGGTTTTTTATATCTTTTCGTTTGTCCTCAAAAAATACATTGAGTAGACTTTGAGATAAGAACAGAATTTGGGAGAACTCCAAGAAACTGCATAATTTCACAAAATGAAATCCCTTTCTCATAGATCGGGAAAAGCTTAAGATCTGTAAAGGGACTTTCACTCTCAAATCCAGATTTTACATATTTAAAACACCTACTCAGCTGCTAGAGAACACTGGCAGAAGTTCAGTTCCCTGCACGTTTACCTTTCCTGTGCACCAGAGCTTGGCAGCAGCTCCACCTTAGCAGAACAAAGCTGTGCCCTCACCTGTGTTTTTTAGTATCTACTCCAGTAAATTGACTCTAAAAGTTGCACAAAATGCAGCCAGGAGGAGGTGGGCATTTTCCACTTTCCTAGATATTTGAAGTCCTGCCTAAATTCTGGGAATCTGCCACTCACCAAGGTTCATCTGCCAAATTTTCTGTGGTGATTAAATTAAACCTTCTTCATGGTGAGAGTTTGAACCCGGAAGTGCTTTCCTTCAAACTGCTTCTTTTTCTACAAGGTAGTCAGTCTGCCCAAGAGAAAGACTGGGATAAAATCTCAGAAAGGGATGGATGTGGCTATTAGCCATCCTCAGGGAACATTTCAACATGTCCCAGAGCTGGGTTATTGCCAAGGCAGAAACTGTGATATTTGCCACAAGGAGCCCCATCACCTTGGAGCCGAGATCCTCACTTGGAGAACCAGCTTCAAATTCCTGCTCCAAACTATTTTAATAGCAACAAACCCCATGTTAGTACATGTTAATCACGAGGACAGAGAAGTAATTGTCATCAAGGAAGTATTTCTAGCGTGTTCTATATTGGTATGAGCACCAATACTGCTTAATACGATTTGGTGCTTTTTCTGTTTGTGTCAAAGTGAGCAGAAATATAATTGCTAATGAAATCTGTAAGTAACAAAAAGGTTAACAAAGCATAAATAAAGGCAGCCCTGTAAGTTCAAGCCTGGTCAAACAAAATGTATTTGAGTATAATCAGATGTAAGAGTGAGGGAAGGTGATACTGGCAGTTATAAACAGTGAGGAAAAGATTATTTCAGGGATTTTTGTCTCTATATAACTTTAAGACAGCATAACCAAGACTTGTAGTAGTACTGGGTGGATCTCTGGTGCCCATGTTTTTAAAGGAGATGGAAACACTGGAGTATGAACAGAAAAACATCCACAACAATAATTAGCATTTTTTAGAAGTTAAATATTTAAAACCAAAAGGACATTGAGAAATTACTTGATTATTCTGGTCAGTAACTTCATGTGAGAAAATACCGAGAGTTAAAATCTGTTTGACAAGAATCATCTAGATGTTAATGAAAAATTTAAGTGGAAATCAAAGCCTGCCCTGCTCAAATTCAATTCCTTCCTTTAGACAGCATGATTAAGGGATGTTTTTGGATGTCTTTGAATCAAGATTTGATGTCTGTCTCCCTTTACAAACAAATTATATCATTTTAGATACTGGGCAAAATTCTAGGCAAACCCTCTGTGCTTTGTATTGCATAGGTTACAGCAGTACAAACAATATCCATGGATGCATGAACATACAGTCTAAGGTAGTAGTTCCTGTTTTATATATAATACAGTGAACTCATTTTTATTTTTTGGAGATAGGTCTTGTAAAAATATATAAAAAAATATAATTTTCTGTCATTTAAGTGCATGTTTTCAGAGCACCATCATCACCATTCATCTACATTGTAACTAGAACATCTTATAAAAATGCTTATTACACAATGTTGTTTCCGTAAGTGATTAAATACATTAAGTACTAATGAGCCTTGAAAGCATGAAAATATGCTCTTAGACTGACACCACAAACATTTTCTATTTTCTCATACTGAGAAGTTGACATTCATATTTGCTGTGATCCAGAATTTTGTCCAAATGCTTTCATGAATGAATTTAATTTTTTTTCCAAGTAGTAGAAATGTTACTTCTTAAAAAAAAAAAAAATGTTTAAATCATCTCCTTACCCTGAATATTGACTTAATGTGTTACAATGGGATCACAGATGGATAATTTAGTTCTGGAAGAATCACTACTGGAAAATTAAAGAGAAAGAGCAGGAAGGTTTTAGGATTTATTCAGTACTTCCTTCAGTGGCAGTGACTGCACTTTCAACTGCTACTAGTTTTCTGATTTACTAATTAATTTAATACTCCTTTTCCACAAATAAACCTTAAAATACATTGCTCTGATTTTTGGACTAGGTAGTAATTTGGAGGAGCATTGTCTTGATCATGTTCATTTAAAAAGAAATATTATGCCCATAATTCAAAACTGAACACTTTTTCTTCCTCATTCTACTTCTTAAAACAAGGGACCAAATCTGAGCCATTGCTCCTTAGTGGTTCTGACTTAGTAGCTTTGCTGACTTATACCTCATGAGGATTTCTTCCACTATTTCCAACTTTTCCCACTTCCCATGCCTTCTGCATGCAGTATGTTATAACCTTCTTCTAATTTTATCCAGTGTCAGTATTAAATATGAAAGAGAGAGAGACAGAGAGAGAACATGAGAGCAAACAGTGTCCACCCAGGAGAGGATGAGGTGTTTTACCTGGAACTGGTGTCTGAGAAGGAACATGTGGTTTTTCCCTAGGCAGCATTGCCACATCTGCATATGTGACATCCCCTGCCATTGATGAGCAAGTCCCTCTGAGTTATGGAAGGAGCAGGTTTAATACAGTGGGTTGCATCCTGTATCAGCTTTGCCTGCCTCCAGAAGTCACATATACTGTGCTATGGCTCTGAGAATGGCTGAGAAACATCAAAAAGGAAGGAAGTTACTCCTTTCAATACAGCTTCAAAGCCTATTTGCAGACATTCTGTCTCTTCTTGTGTGATTTCTTGCCCTTCAGAATACAGGAGAAAATGAAGACTAAAACCCATTCTTTCTAATAATATGTATTAAAAAAAAAATCTTGTTTTTCAAAGCAGTGTGAAGTTTCTAAGGAATAATCAAAAATGGGCTTTCACAAGTGCTGGTTCTCATGAGAAGCACTAACGCAATACAATCAATGTTGTGCTGTATTATCCTCATGTCCATGATCTTATACAGCCTATTCACCTAAAAGAAAGATAAATAAGATATATATCAGTATAAGATGTTTTGAGGTTGATGTAACTGCAACCACATAGCTATAAAAATGTAACTCAAATTCTAACCTGCTCCACGCACAGAGCACTTTAATGGTTTAACGACTGGATTTAGATGGTATTGATGAGGTGTTGAAATTAACTCAAAATAAAATAACTGGTTACAGTGTTAAGTGCAGTAACAAAGAGGAAAAAAAAAAAAGAACCTTTGATAGTCATGGAACAGATTACTCAGAAGTGCTGCTCAAATACAATTTATATGCAAGGTATCTAAATCATTATTTATCACCACTGATAAACCGATACTGTGAACTGGATACCGACAAGGTTTGATTCATGGACACCTACCTAGCAGGCATATCACTAATCCTAATGTGAAACAAAACCTGTCCTCTGATTCAAACAGTTTCCTTTACTTTCCCTGAACTTCTCATCATCCTTTACAGCAGGATATTTAGGCCTGAAATGGAAAAAAAAATTAAAAAAACCCAAAAAAACCAAAGCAAAAAATAACCCCAAACCAAAACCCACTTTCCTTATTTGGAGTTTTTTAAACTTGGGTCCATAAAGGAGAGCTAGAAGGCTTGCTTGAACACTTGGGCTCTCTTTCCATCACTTCACATACACTTAAGCAGTCTTTTCTCGCATAAGCCCCTCCTAAATTAGTCAAAACCATTAAGATGTAACAATGTATAGTCAGGGTACACACAGGTCTTCATGAATAAGTGGAAAAAACCACCGTTTCTATTTTAAGGGAACATGTCTTCCCGTCTCATCTGAAAAACACATTTTCAGACAGAAGAGCAAACTCACGAAGCGTGCAATGCAGATCAGGCAGCTGCATCCTCTCTGACTGAGCAGATTCTCACTTGCCTGAAGAAAATTAGGAATGCACAGACTTAGTTTACAGAGGAAACTTCCAAATAACCATAAGCACTTCTCATTTGGATTTGAAGTCTACATGCTGTGCTTACTACTAGGGCAGATAATGAAAAGGAGGGTGAATTTTAATTTTTAGAAGGAATAGATGAGCCTTTGCAAGACATTTTTCTTAAATTCTTTCTTTCCTATTGGAAAGGTTTTGGTTTTTTTCTCTCACTGTCACAGTATTTTCATTTACTGACTATCTTCTTTAGTGTTAATAGTTTTAGCTCTGTTAGTACTTTAATTATTTTCTATTGTTTTCAT